TTTTTTAATGTTTATTTATTTTTTTGGGAGAGAGAGACAGCAGAGGAGGGAGGGGCAGAGAGAGACAGGGAGACACAGAATCTGAAGGAGGCTCCAGGCTCTGAGCTGTCAGCACAGAGCCCGACGTGGGGTTCAAACTCACAAGTCATGAGATCATGACCTGAACCAAGATCAGACATTTAACCAACTGAGCCACCGAGGCACCCCCTGTAGAGGCACTTTTTTGAGGAAGCTCACCCAAGCCTCCCTGTTGCCCCTGGGCCTTGGTTCTTTCCACTGGAGATCAGAGAAAGCCTGGCCTGTCTTAGGAGTCCTGGCCCCATGTGCAGCCGACAGTCCTGAGTCCTGTGGCTGCAGCTCACAGCCTCTCATGTCCTCCCTCACCTGGCCACAGGATCAGGCCGTCAGGTCAGGGGTGCCCAGAGCTTCCCAGAGGCCCTTATCCCTGATTTTCATGAGCATTGCTGTGGTCTTCGGGGTAGGTGACAGGAGCTGGCTGTTCCTATCCCCAGGGGAAGTTTGGGAGTTACAGCCCAGATGCCCCCTGACGAGTCCTGGAGCCTCTGGGAAAGGTATCAAATGTCTCTATAAACGAGGGTCATTTTGTGGAGGAAATTATTTCAGGCTTTTGAATTTCCCACGAGTGGAAATCCTAACCTGAGAAACTTGAAGGAAATAAACAAAACGTTGGGCAGGCGTGGCCCTAGGGCAGCTTAGGGAGTGCTGAGGCTGAACTTTTCCTTCCAGAGGGAGGCCTCTGTGAATGAGAATGACCCCGAATTATGATATCTGGGATGGAGCAATAGAACATGAAAAACTCTGGGCTCTGGGCTTCTGTGGAGCTGGGTTCCAATCCCTGTCTTGCTATTGGTAGTTGTGTGATCTTAGCCACATTTCTTATCTTACAAGGTCTCGCTTTGCTTACTGTTATATGGAGCTGCACATCAAAACTGTCTCGTGGAGATTATACAGGAAAAAGTGATGTGATATGTATAAACTGTAGAGCCTGAGATCTGGCAACTCCTGGACGACAGGTTTTGCCAGGGAGGTGGCTCTGGGCAGGAGGCCTGGTGTCGTCTCCTCCAGCCCAGGTTTCACCATTGGCTCTCACCTTGGGAAAATCTTGCCATTTGGGGTGACGCCTGGGGAAAGAAGGAAGGCCTGCCGCTGTCCTGGAGTACGTGCCCAGCACACAGCTGTGTGCACTGCTGGGCCCAGAAGCCCAAGGAAGCTCAAGGCCTACAGAAAGGGTGAATGTGCACAGGCCCCATCTAGACCATGGCTGGCCAGGGCCTCCACCCCTGGCCTTGACTTTTGGAGGGGTGGAGGAGTGTGTGCGGAAACAGGCAGGCGGTGGGGGGTGATGAATAACCAGAGACAGAGGAGGCAAGTGGGGTGTGATCTGGCCAGTGCTGCATTGCAAGGCAGTGCAGGGGGCAGACAGACTTTGGAGCCAAACTTTCTGCATCTCAATGCTAATGGCTTCTTCTTCTTCTCCTTCTTCTCCTTCTCCTTCTCCTTGTTTATTTATTTATTCTGAGAGAGAGAAAGCACAAGCAGGGGACAGGACAGAGAGAGAGAGGGAGAGAGAGAATCCCGAGCAGGCTCCTCATTGTCAGCGCAGAGCCCGACACAGGGCTTGAACCCATAACTGTGAGATCATGACCTGAGCTGAAGCTGGACACTCAACTGACTGAGCCACCCAGGTGCCCCCTGACTCTACTTCTTAATATGGCACTGCCTAGTTCCTTAATGACACTAGAATACCTCAGATAGCAACCGACCGTTCTGGGCCTGTTTCTCACCTGTGATGGAGAAAACCAGCTCCCTCCGTGTGTTGCTTTGAGGACTAAGTCCCAGAGAGTTGGCACATGCTCAGTAAACATGAGCCCTCATCAGGGACTCAGGAGCCTGAGGGTGGGGGAAAAGGCCGGTGCCCAACCAGCTGGGGCTACCGCATTCTCAGGCTCACGGACGTTACCTGCCTTCTCCCCAGTTTCCCTTCGGTAGGGGCTTGGCTTCTAGAGCTCTTTTCCTTTCTACACATACGACACAAGTAGCTTCCGAGTCCCAGGGTTTCCAGGTCGGGATGGGGCATCAGGGGATTTGGGACTAGCTTCATCTCTGTGCCA